AGCATTATAAAAGAGTGTTTTGAAAAAACGGCCACGTAGACATTTAGATAGGTATTTAAGCTTTTGAATAATAATAACACTTTTGCTCGACACTGAGACGACCGTAAGAGTTCTCTTCGGAAGCCCTGCCAACAGTCCGTCATGGTTATCGCAGCAAATTATTTCTAGCTATCGAGACTCGACATAGAGCAACCGGTTCATATTCGCGATTAGAGTCATCACACATGAGAAGGGTTCCGACCTTTCATTTGGAGACTCGCCTAAGAGCCAATTTTTTGCAAAGATGTCAGGTCAGAAATTTGTGGACATTCTCCCTTTCCATGTCAACTGTTTCGTGAATCCATAGGCGCGAATATAGAATAATGTCAATTTTTCCTGTTCTATTTTCTCAAAAAAGTGTTTATGGCACTATGTTGACTAGACATGAAGTTTAAATGTTGGAAGCCGTCCCAATCTACCATACATTCTGCTTGTTGCAACCTTTCAAAGTGACAGACATGCGAATATCCCTTTGCATGCATGCAAACAACGCCATGTCAGTGTGAATGTATATCACTTATTGTAGATGAATCCATTCGAGAAGAGCGACTTTCGAATGCGTCAGTAAATGCATTGGCAATTGGCACTATTGCGTAGTGATCAATACTTAGTTTTAGTGTGGCGAACTAAAATCTCGAGAGCGCCATCTATTCTTTGATTCATAAATTGAGTTAAGTACCTAGAGCGCTTCAAAGGCTTCTGATAGGAGTTTTTGAGAATCCCATATAAAAGACTAGATTTGTGAAAATTAGCATGCTTGTTCTTCAGAAATTCCAAGATTTTTGCCCACGCTGGATGCTACAATGTCTATGGGAGATCAAAGAGACCTCTAAATGTTCCAAGTGATTTATTTTTTTATTCTCTAGCCTTCCAAAAATAAAGCGAAATGTTATCGATATGCACATAAACCAGCTCTCTACTAATCTCGATTTTTTTATTGGTTAAGTGCTCTATTCTTGAGCAAACTAGGGGCTGTTAGTAATCAAAATGAATGACGAATTATGTCTGGTGCGCTTAGCACCGATTGAGATGCTACATCTTTGCGCATTCATTTCAGTTTGTGATTTTTGCGAGACATAGATGAAAGGGCAGTGAACTACCCTGTTTAGAAAAATTCCGCTGTTCATTTCTGAGAATTGAATAACGGAACCGTCGTAGCTGCCGCAGTTTTCATGTTAAACAGAAGCAATAAAACGTGAAACGGTGTCTACCATTCAGAGCCAGCGCTCGCACTGTACAGTCCTATTCTTACCGCACATCAACATAAGCCTCGGTTTACTACGGTTACCTAAGACAGATTTGGTCCAAGCTTCCTTTTCAACCTCCTTAGTCCCACGCTATTGAAATTCAGCCAATGGATTTATGAATCATACCTTTCAAGAAACAGTCCTCAAAGCTCCCTGAGCCTTTCCAAATATTCTTTGATCCTCTAATCAGATAATGGAATGATAACCCCAAAGTCCGTTCACATTGTTTCCACTAAGTAATTGTTCATCTAAATTGATGCTGATTTCAATCTGATAATGTGATTGTTGTGATCGATTGGATTTAAATGTAAAATTAATAAGCTTCAGCATTTCTTCTTTGAGCCTACTCATTGTATGCATACACCTAAAAGAATTACTTGGGCGCAAATGGATTCTCAGCTCTAATTTGAACATCTGAAAAATGGAATCTCAGCTCTAATTTGAACATCTAAAATGTTATCATGATCTCCAATTGCAATCAACTATATTCCTCAGAAAACTGTTAGATGATTGTTTTGCTTACTTTCGCTTTCAAATCACCTATTGGGTTGAGAAAAAGTTTCAGGAAAGTTATGAAAAGTCGAAGATTTATGCATGAAATTTCAAATGGATTTAATCGGTAACGATTTCTCAAAATGAAGGTCATCGTTTTTCACGACTCTGTGCCATCGCTCCGCCAACTCCGATATGTTGCCGAAGTACCCTTCCTTTGACATCAAATCAAAGAGCTCTTGACATGCTCCGTAAGCTTTACTGAAATTCTTGAACGAGACCTGTCCTCGAAGTCAACATCTCCGGCATTGAAGTGTTGAAACCAGGTCCAGCAGACCATCTGCTTGTTGTGCCTTCGCCTTCAAGTTCGCTGATTTTATTGACTGCAGCTCGTTGTGAGAGACCACTTCTTCAATATTTAGCCAGCAAAACAAGAACTTCGAAACTATTGTTGGACACGGAGAAGACTTGTAACAAAATGAAAATAAAGGCGAATAGTATCTCGGCCTTCAATGGGAAAATTTCGCATAAGGAACTGCAACTTTTCAATGTTATGCATGGAAATTAACTCATGCTTATTAAAGGTTTCTAGAACTTGCTCTCCAACCGGAGTAGTTTCATTTTCAAAGAAAAGCATTATTTTTTTGAACTTTATGAATGCATTCTTTCAAATTGCAAGCTTCCGCGTCGCCTTCCGGTCTATCGGATATTCTCCAACTCGTGGAAATTCTCCTTGCATGAGAAAGCCGAGTAAACACAAGTGCTAAACATAGTGTATACCTCGATTGTGAAGCATAAACTTCTACTCGTTGCTTTAGTGCACTAAAAAAGCTTTTCCGAACAGTAACAATAGGATCAAAATACCTGTTTCACCAAACTAAAACTGGAAGTCTGGTGAAAAACTGCGAAAAACCGGTGAACTATCTTAGTTCCAGTGATAATTGAGTCGTCTTGTACACTTTGCGATAGAGTACTGCTTCTTGTCTCTTCTCGATTTGACCTGCCACGCGAATTTTTAGAATAGGATTTATCCTTATAACGAAGAACCTAAACATTAAAAATATATACACATAAGTACAGCAACTAGCGAACTTAATCATGCAAGAGAACGATAAAGTTGACGCGAAGGGCAAGTGAGTGACGACGGCGAAAAGTGAATGATTGATTCGAGATACTTGATCGGAAGGGGTAACAAATAGCTGATATCTTGACACTCAGTTGACATTATCGATAGATGAGTAGAAGAAGATAAAGGAAACGAGCAACAATGAGATCGTAAAAAGTAATGAAGTGTCCTTGTGGGCGTGAGTCTCCATCATCGTCATCTTCCTTGACCGCCGAGCAACCATATCGCCGACGGGTGTCGCCATCGTTCAAGGAAGATGGCGATGGTGGCGACTCACGCCCACAAGGACACTTCATTACTCTTTACGATCTCATTGCTTACTCGTTTCCTTTATCTTCTTCTACTCATCGATCGATAATGTTAGCTGAGTGTCAAGATATCAGCTATCTGTTACCACTTCCGATCAAGTATCTTGAATCAATCACTCACTTTTCGATGGCGTCACTCACCAGCCCTTGGCATCAACTTTATCGTTCTCTTGTATGATTAGGTTCGCTATTGCTGTACATCACCTGTATCACCTGTCGTCACGTTGATCATCGAGTGACTCGAGCGGATGTCCAGCAACTCTTCCATTCTTCCCTATCGCGTGCAAGAGTAGCCCAGTGGGTCCTCCTCGCTCTAGGGATTCGCTGAGCATCATATCTTTCTTCCATCGCTTTCGTGAAGAAATCAAACCAACGGGTCAGTGGTCTTCCTTTAGAGCGCTTGACGTCCCGAGGAATCCAGTCGGTAACGGCTCTCGTCCATCGGTTGTCGTTGGAGCGCATCACGTGCCCGCTCCACCTTATTTTCGATATCCTGGCGTGTAGAACGGCGTCTCTGATTTTCGATCGTTGTCGTAGTCGGAACTTCGGATCCTTTCTCTCATTTGCGAAATATGGGATACTCCTAGCATCGACCTTTCGACTGCGCGTTCGATAACGGCACGTGATCTTTCATCCTGCTTACGTAGCGACCAGGTTTCTGCTGCATACGTGAGGGCAGGGATAATTGTCGAGTCGAAAAGGTGGGCACGGAGTCGGATGTTCTTTGTCCTCTTCACTACATCTTCAATGCTCTTAAGCGTTACCCAAGACGCTCGTTTCCTCCTGCTCAACTTTGGAGCTAGGTTGTTTATCATGTTGATTTCACAACCTACATAGACGCAACTGGAACATTCGGAGATTGTCGTTCCGTTGAGCGTGAATGGGGCATTAGAAACCCATCCGTTCCTCATGAACATTGTTTTCGTTAGATTTAGTTGAAGACCAATCTTTCCACAGACGTTATCGAAATCAGTCAACATTCGTTTCTGCTTGGCTGGTGTTTAGTGCTGTGAGAACGATATCGTCAGCAAAGCGAAGATGGTTCAATTGTCGACCGTCAATTTTCACTCCCATTTCTTCCCGTTCTAATGTTCGCATGACGTTTTGTAGGGTGGCAGTGAATAGTTTTGGCGAAACTGTATCTCCTTGTCGAACCCATCTTCATGCGTAAATGGTGATACTGTTGTAGAATGAAGATATTTTGGTCGTAAAATCTTTATAAAACTCACGAAGGATTATTATGTACAGAGTACGGACCCCCTGGTTATCGAGAGCCTCTATAATCGCTTCTGTTTCCACTAAACCAAAGGTTTTCTTCAGATCGATAAAAGTGAGACAGAGTGGTTGTTTGTACTGTCGCGAAACATCAATGAGTATTGTAATCGTGTGGATGTGGTCCATGGTACTAAATCCTTTTCGGAACCCTGCTTGTTCGCATGGCTGTCCTTCGTCCAGTGTTCTGTCAATCCTGTTAAGGATGACTCGAGTAAAGAGTTTATAGACAACGGACAGCAAGCAGATCGGGAGATAATTGCCTATGTCGTGATGATCTCCCTTTTTGAATAACAATACGGTCTTGCTGGTTTTCCACTGAACGTTCTCTTGTATGATTAGGTTCGCTATTTGCTGTACATATGTGTATCTATTTTGATATGTTTAGGTTGCTCGTTATAAGGATTAGGCCTGTTCCAAAAATCCGAGTGGCAGGTCAAATGAAGACGAGACAAGAAGCAGTAATCTATCGCAAAGTGTACAAGACGACTTAACTTTTACTGGAATTAGAATAGTGGAGCATCGGTGGTTCAGTGGTGGAATGCTCGCCTGCCACGCGGGCGACCCGGGTTCGATTCCGCCCGCACCACATTGTGCTCAAGGAGCTAAATTTCTTAGACCAGGATTACCAGAGCTGGTAGTACGGATTTTTTTGCCAGACCTCTATTAGCCATTCAATAGCCGAAAAATTGTGATTCTCATTATGGCCTTTGTTTCTGCAAGGGGTTTCAAGGCGCGCCGTAGCAGCCAAGGGAATATCACGTTTTACCTTCGTCGTTCATTACTTGGCCTTTCGCCACAATTCTCAAGATGTACAGCACCATTTCCAATACAGACAAAATATTCGATCGACCCGTCGAATATCATCGTGTTGGTAACGCCAAAGCGGGAGTACCTGTGCAGCAGGTAACTGGCAGCTGTGCCCGAATTCGTAGAAACGCTGTAGATAAGGGGAAAAAACATTAGAGAAACGCTGCAGAAGCTGAGCAGACCATTCGTGAAGTCCACAGATGCCTCGGGAATCACAAAAAAACTTGAGGAAGCGTTCACTTGGCGGAACAGTAACAGAATCCAGAAAAGCCGTGAAGTTTATCTTTCATAATCATCACTTGAAATCCTTCAATACCATGCTTTATATGCGTCATATAAAATAAAACTAGCGAATTCGTCGTTCTGCTGGTTTCTCCTTCTGAAATCTGACATGCTGTTTTGCCGAAGGAGAGTAAAACTATTAAGTCTGCAACTAGGCTTCCGAACTTGATCTAGAAAATAAAAATTTTTCACGAAGACATACTTTGCTCTTACCTCTCTTTTTCAGACTCTTCTTGCGCATCGTTCGGTATCTTTTTGCACATACCTGCCCTCAGTCGAGCCGTCACGAGAAGTCATTCGCAACTTACTGCTTCATGATCTTCAATTAGGGCACAATCTTCATACTGCATCTGACAATACCAAATGTACAAAAGGCCGCCAAGTTGTTAGCAGAACTGCGGCATATGAATGGCATACAAAGCTTCGCAATGGAGATACTGATTTGGCCGATCAACCAGAATCCGGAAGATCGCGTGAAATTGATCGAAAATCAATCAATGAAGTGATTGAAAAAGGTCCGACTTTGTCAAAAAGTGATTTGGCCGATGATTTCCAATGTTCAAATGAGAAGATCCTGAAGATTTTGAAAGATGAAGACAATGTTATCTCATATAAATCTTTTATTAATTTTAAATGATACTTTCGAATACTTGGTAAAATAATTTTTTAAACTTTTCGATCAAGTTTGGAAACTAAGTTGACGACCTAATACATTCGGTTCAGGCAGAAACAAGACCTGGACACTTGAGGAATTTCGTGCCAGTTCTAATCAAAACATTGACTTCTCTCAGTACACTTATTTGTCGGCCTAAACTCCAGTCAACGAAAAACCAGCAGGACCGTGTTGAAAAGAATAGAGCTCTCGACACTGGTCTTTTTTCAAAGAATGCATCGTGTATTCGAATTCATCTATCGTTCTAACATCGTGTGCAATAATCAAATGCCAATGACTCGATGTGACATACCACTGCAACAAATAAGTCCTCTCGTTCTACCAGATGAGTCCGGCATGAAATCGTCGATTCCAGATGGATGATAGATTTGGTGAGTCTTAGGCGTGAAATCGGCATGTGGGCCTTCGATTAATTGACTTTTTGTATGTCGAAGAACACTTTTATCGGCCGAGCCAGACGCTCCTTCAAAACTATGTTATTGTTTGAAAGGAGAGACCTTTTCGATATCGAAATACCTCGTTCATTCTGCTTGATTTCTGTCGTTTATGAAGTATCTCCTCGTGCCATTGTAGACAGGATTTATAAGACACTAGACGAAAAACAACCGTCTGAACATAGGGGTTTTCTAGAGAAAATTTCAGCACTAGAAACCACCTCCACACGATATAAAGAAGTCAAAGTATCACTGAAGTTTTGCGAAAGTTCAAAAGACCGCGTTTTCTCATTTTTATTGATGTGAGAAAGGCCTTTGAATTGCTTGAAGTGTGAACAACAATGTAGGATCCAAATAGACATCGTTTCCCTACTCAGTGAATAGAGATCCTTCATTAGGTACACGAAGATTTTTCCAACAAGAGATCCTCGTGCTATAGCAATACTATCATTGATGTTCAAATAGAGAATCAATAGAACATTGCCCTCTCTCCAAAATGAACCGCTATGACCACTTCTTAACGTTATGTGAACCTTGTGATGCGACAGTATGGGGGTAAAAATCCACCACTGCTTTGTAGACGGCCTCGCTCACATAACACTGTATCTGAAGGGTGCATTAAATGTTGACCGATCTCGACACCACTTGTGGGAGGATTGATCTCCGACTGATTCTAAGATCAACTGCCTATAACGATCGGGTTAGTACTGAAACTTAATCGCGCTCAGTCGCATGAACACAATTGGTCTATACACGTTTCGATAGGACGGCAAGTTGAGCTGCTGAGCAACTTAGCCTCACAGTTGACTGATAGGAAGCGAACGGCTTTAAGAGGGTCTAAGATCACTGACGATGTTTTTTGAAGAAAGATAAACACTTGTCTCCGTGTCCACTTTTCGAATCATGATGACCTAACTTATGTATTACGATATGATTACCTAAGTAAGGTGCAAGTATTACCTCATAATTTCCCTTGCATTATCATCTTATTTGGTTTTTTTTTTGTATCTAAACTGATCATTACTGAGGATGAGCCCTTTATCTATTACGAACCAACACGCACCACGCTTACTGACTGCTATGTGGAGGACACGCTAGCTCATTCGAAATCCATATTTCACACACAAGAGATCATGTTTTAGTGCTCTTAGATTGGCAGCAGATGCTGATTAGAGATCTGTCTGACAAGAAGCAAACAATCAATGCCGTCGTATACGGTAAACAACTCCGGGCTGGCATCTAAAGTGCGAGAGTAACGTCTGGAACGACTCATCGTCGCCTCTCTCCACTATCTTGTCGTTGCATAGTGAATCAACCTGGCACATTTTGGAGAAACTGGATGTAGCACGATACCACATCAGCAGGCTAGTGTGATATCGGTTTATCCGAAAATATTTTTTTCCGCTTCCTATGGCATCTGCTAAAGGAGAAGCTTCAAGACTGCAGCCAAATTAAAGGTCACCTCACCGTTCTCGTTTACCGTCAGCCTCATATTTTCAGAAAAAAAAGCATTCAGTCTTTGCCCCGTAAATGGTTGCGTACAGACAGTATTTCGATCAGACTGATGTATCGCAAGTGCAACTGTTACCATCAAAGTTACATAGGGATTGGGTTGAAATAGACCGTCATGATTTCCTCTCAAATTTTTCAGTTGGCGATGGTGGTGCTGTTCAATGAATAAAGGCGACGATACGTTCGGCTTCTACAATATCATGTGGAAGCTATTTTTCTACATTTCTCAGCTTACGACCTAGCCATTTCTTCCAAGGACGACTTTCTATTGGCGGATCTCATAAGGTTTGAGTTGAAGATTTCTGAGAGCACTTTATTTCCTTAACGGCTCAATTTAGAATAAATGCCATGACTACATCCAAGAGATTCCAGAACTGACTGAAAGTTATTTTGATGATGTGACTAGCGAGTTCGAGGTTAGTGTGTGATTGTTATCAACAATTTGATACTTTCCAAAAATGGGTCAAATTTCTCATTTTGCGCCCAGTTATCTTTCTTCCTTTTCACGTTTTGAAGAAGCATTCATGCCATATTGGCGATTTCATTGTATAAGGTATGAGCGCGAAGCCTGTGTAAAGCTCATATGAAATACGGAAGAATGGCGAAATCATCCTGCTTAAGCGAAGATCCCAAGAATCTAACTGATTTTCCGAAGGAAGATCAACTGTGTCATGTCTTACAAGATTTTTCTGCCGTCAACTAATTTCTGTGTTGTAGCAACATTTATTTAGAAAACTTTCCCTTAATGAGCATTTTGACGTTCTGTAGTCACGTTATTGTGGCTTTGATTACTCAATTAAGATAGCCCTAGCAAGCTTATTCGATACCTTCAAGTCTGTATCATTATCCCGATATTTTGGCAGATTTCACTTGGCGATTTGAAAGGTTTTATCAAAATGTTGCAGACTTGACGAAGGAATTCTGCCTGACTATTTACCTAGATTAGAGTACTGTGTACTTGTACATGAAGTAATGGAAGTGTCTGCTCACTATGCAAAATCAATCTAGAATGGAGGCTAACTCACACGTGAACAGTGTGCACTCACTTCTTCAACTGATGTTCTACTAGGTCCCGATACTTTTAGCTAAATGTGATTATATAATACATTATTTTAATCAAATCTAAAGCATTTACGACCACAATTTCAATGAACAGAATGATGCATTTTAGACAAACATGTTTCTTACATTGGCCGCACCTCGTATACGTGGTTTTCAATTTTAAGCCTACTTTCGTTTGTTAATGCGACGCATAAATTCCAAGGGTGTATGATCGATTCTTTCCTGTTATCCGGGCACAAATGAAGAAACAATGCTTTTGCTGGACAAAAATTTTCTTGTAAGTGTTAGTAACTGTTCAAAGGCTCAAGTCCTTGACTACTATGCTACATAGCAGTTTTTGAAAAGTTTTATTATAACGCTAAAGCAGATAGAAAACATTTGAAATTGCGCATGTAAACTTCTCGCACGAGAGCATTGGTACTGGAATTATGAGTGACCATGCGACGTCGTAAATTTCCGCAATTACAGTGCTGTGCTTGTTTTTTAGAAGAGGCGTTTCAGCGCAGTGTGGCAGCGAAAGCTAATTTGAGCTCCGCATATGCGGTGCATATGTTTGTCAGCTAATGTGTGCATTGGGGGCAAAGGACGGCTGGCCGTAGATTCCATGTGACGATCATCTAATCGCGTTGGCACGGATCGCTCGCAAAATGCAATCTTTGTTATCTAATCTGAAATTTTTTCTCTCTTTTAAAGGAACTTCGGACATAACGTATGCTTTAATACCACATGATTTGCTCTACACGTTCGTATGCTTTTTGTGTTAAATTTATTTTGACAGCTTTATAATTTGGTGATACAGCTTCATATCAGAGTGTT